TGGTTAAAAAAAAAAAAAAAAAAAGAAGAGCATTTATTCTCCTGGAGGCAGGACCTGCCCAATCTGAGAGGGCCTTTCCTCTGACCCCAAGCATCAGAGCAGGTGGAGGCAGAACCCTGATTCTGCTGTGGGGCCCAGCGCCACTCGCCTCCCCCAGGTTACGGCCCAGCAGCTGGGACTTGCCCCAGAAGAGCACCTACAGCATGTATCCCGTGTTCTTCATCAAAGCGGCCTTGAGTCCGCCGGCATCCCCAGCAAGCAGCACTCCCGCCCTAAAACCAAAGGGCGAAGCAGGGAAATGGGAGGGCTGCGCTTTGCTTCCTGTCTGATAACTACCAGCAACCGGGCTTCTGCCCAGCATAGCTAGATAAGGGGAGGGCACTCCATCTGACATGCCCTGAAAGCTGTCCAAGCAATGGCTTAGGAAGGCCATTCCAATTTCAAGTCCCAAAAGTTGTAAGATTTTCCTGTGACTTAGAGTGATTTATAACATGGGTTAACCTCTCAAAGCCTCCATTTCACATCTGTAAAATAAGGATAAAACTATCTCAAAGTGCTATTGTGCAAGTTAAATGAAAAAGATAGTGTATGCACATTGTTTGGCACTACGCTATTATCATTATCAAAAATAGTAGCAATTAGTATTATTGTTTAAAGGAGAAAATGATATCCACTGGGAGGCTCCTCTCTGGACCCGAAAGCTTCGTATCAGGAATTATTTAGAACTGGAATGCCAGCCTCCGCCTCCACAGCAGCCTACTGCCAATTCTGATGAGAGCTTAGAAACCATTGCCCTGATGCCATAGAAAAGAAGACAGCCTTTTCCTTTCTCTTTGCCCTTAATTTTAAAAGGTTGGGCAAGTTTCCCATCCAACCACCTCCAAACCTTTCAAACAAGTTTCAGTTATATTCTTGCCAAGTAAAAAACCAAAAATTCATAAGAGAACTTAAAATAAAAAGTTGTTAACATCTTGAAACATCCTGACTTTCAAGTTAAGAGACTTTACAGGATGGTTTCATGATTTCTACACCAAATTCTTTCTTGTACATTTTGTCTACACCCCACCCCTTCCTTGGCCTCAACCTCATGAGTGTAAATGGAAATCGGCCCTGGCTCCTGGCCTCCCATGACAACTTGGAGGTGGAAATGGTTAATCTGGAGTGGGATTGAGGGTCTCTGAAGTAGACTGACACTCTTTCAGCTGATCCATGTCTAATGCTGAGCAGGCTGTGACCAGCTACCTCCACAACATGTTTTTATGCAAGTGTGCTATAGGGAATGGTCTTCCTTGTAAGTGAGAAAACGTGGAAGCAAAGTTCATTTATCCCATCAGTTCCCTGCTTCTCACCATTCACCTGGGCTTTGCAGTGCTGATAAGATAGGATGTATTTTAACCTCCAAGCAGACTGGGCCCCAGTCAATTTAGAGACACAAAGTCACAACATAATTCAATTTGGGGTAATTCCAGTGCTTCTGTAATATCTAAAGCCCTAATGTACTCCTGACTCTTAGGATGAAGTGGCACTGATCAAGAGTGAGGCTACTAAGCCATCATGGACTTCAGACTGTTACCCCTGACTTTCTATGTATGTGTATAGACAACACTTAACAAGAGTGAAGAAGACTTAAATAGCCACATGGTCCATGTGCTGCCAAACACCTGGCAAATAGATACATGGTTGTTACATGAGCACACCCCATATCCAGGAACTTCTGGACGAAGGCTTACCACTCCATCTGAAGCTCCTCCAACTGTTAAAAAGCATTCTCTTGAATTTGGCCAATGGCAATTCCTGCTGAACCACTTTTAGTTCAGATATTACCTTTCTGGATGTTCATTCATGCATACAGCTGCAAACATTTTCTGACAGCTTGATATTGTTATGCACTGTGCTGGGTCCTGAATCAATGGGTAATAAGGGTAATCCCACTTCTAGCAGAGACACTGACAGCCCTTCCTTGGCATATCCCTGGGTTCCTTCATTCCCCTGTCCCTCCCCACTAAATTTTCACTAAGTGTCCTATGTCACTCTCTAAGTGTAGGCCCAGAAGTGATATTGCAATCTGTTCAATGTATAACAAATAAGTTCTCGTTTGTGATCTATTTCAGAAAATGCAACCTAAGATTGGGCAGTCATATCACCTTCCTGCTTAATTTTCTGTCCATATGAGGCAAAATAGCTTAAGATTAAGAATAGCTAGCACCGGAGCAAGCATTTGTTCCACCTCTTACCTTGGGAGTGCTGGGTGAATTATTCAATCTGTGGAGATGTTATTTTTTTTAAGTGTGCTGTGTGCTGTGGGGGCAGTTGGAAGGAGTAATGAGGCAGTGCACATACAGCACCTGACCTATTCATGGCTCATTAAAAGCTGTGATTCTACATCTCATTGCTGTCATCTCTAACACCCTGAAGTCCTTTTCACATGTGCTGCTGCTCCATCAGACTCCCAGGTGTTTTGAAGAGGACTGAATGGAGGTCCTAACACCTTTAACATCTAGCCCATCACGTTAGCCTGTTCTTTGGCATCCTGGATGTGTCATATAACCTATTGTCATCTCAGTCCCATGGCATTGGGCACTGTGTTCAGGGTCTCTTCTGTATTCTCATCCAAGTAAAGTATGACCAAGTAAGTTCAAGGGCAGCAGCCAGGATTTAATCCTATGACCTCCCTTGTAGATGAGGGAGGTCCCTTTCAATTAGTACTCTTTGGCTGTGCTTATTTACCAGTCACAAGCTTGTAACATCTCCAGATTGTTTTACGAAGTCAGGTCAGGATGAAATTCTGGCGACCTACTATTCCTGTATTATCTTCTTTAGGGAACATGCTGTGTTGTTATAGAACATGAAAAACCCATTTCTTTTTTCCACAAAGTTTCTACATATAACATGCTTCCCACAGAAATTTGTAATTGACATATTCTAGCACAAATTATAATCAGGTAATGTTATGACTTCCTCCAACAGAATAATAGTTTAACAACACTTTTTGTAAGAAAATAATTATGTTTTACTAGGTAAAATGAGTTTAAAATTACAAGTTAGAAAATTTTGTCTAGCTGTTTCTATATAGCATTAATATGGGCTGCTTTGCTAAAAATTTATTTTTGAATCAGGGTTTCACTCTGTCACCCAGGCTGGTGACGTGATCACAGCTCACTGCAGCCTTGAACTCCTGGGACTGCAGGTGTACACCAACCATGCCTGGCTAATTTTTGTATTTTTTTGTAGAGACTGGGTACTGCCACGTTGCCCAAGATGTCCTGAGTTCCTGTACTCAAGCAATCTGCCCGCCTCTGCCCTTCAAATTGTTGGGATTATAGGTGTGAGCCATTGTGCCCAGCCAACAAGATTTCTTTAAACCAAAGGTTATGATAAAGAGAAGGCACAGAATTTGACGTATTTTTGAATAGTCCAAAGTAATTTTTATTCTCTAATTAGTCATCTCACAACTTTATTTGAATCAAGTAATGAGAGGCTAATTAAACCAGTTTAAAAAAAAATAATTTTCTTCTCTTTCTCCAGGCAACGGGTCATTTTGGGGCGCTGCAGGACATCTGTGCTTTCCCTGTGCCCCGCCACCTTCCCAGCTCCCAAGCTGCAGCCATCTCTGCTGCACCTGCTGTCAGAAGGCAGCTCCTCGGGGCTCCTGCTGCAGGTGCTACACCTGTGCAGAGGGCTTAGGAGGAGCAGAGAGCCTTCTAACTGCAGCAGTCCTGACAGAGCACTTCGTGAACCCCTCCAGGACATAACAAGGGCATCAAACTGGGAACAAAAATAAAGTCTTCACTGAGATTTGGCGATTTTACCACATACAAGGCCCGAAAGATGACTGAAGACAAGAAGATAAATCTCTTGCCAGCAGGAGTAAGATTGTACAAGAGTCTGAGTGTACAGGGCAAGCCAAGAGACGGGGAGAAACAGAGAAAAGGTTCATGCAATTATGAATATGACCTGGAGGGTGCTTTGGAATTAGATTACAACAGGAGCAGAGTTAATGCCATTTTGAGACAATTTAAGAATTATGTATTTGAAGGAACTCAGTATTATCGTGTTATCCAAAATCCTCCCAGTTGCTCATAAGACTTGCTAATAACCTGGTTTGGGACTGGAGGGTTGAGGGATCTAACTGAAAACATATGTTAAAGTTGAATATGATAATCATGTCTTGTTTTTATGATTTTGCTCATGAGACAGTCTTGAAAGAGAGAGCTGAGTGATTATCCAAGTAAATATGTATTTTTATGCAGAATGTAGGTGTGTCTTAACTTTGCATTCCAAAATAAAAATGACTGATCTTTTCCATTAGTACAGTTTGGTTTGGCCAAACTGCCAGCTTTTATGATTGTATTTATTTATTTTCCCTAAGGAGATACAGGCACTTTGAGGGCCTTCCCAGGCTGCTGCAAAATGATGGATGGTTGGGCTCCGTCTAATCCAAGTGACATGGGGTGTCAGGAGCATTGGTAATCGTATCCTGCCAACTTCAAAGACCACTGCCAAAACATCCACAGCACAGAGGTTTGGCAACTTCACATAATCATAGCAACAGGATGACAAACTGAAAAAAACAAGCCCTGAAACAGCTATGAAAAGCGCCAATTCAGAAACCAATTCAGCTAAGATGTTTAGGCCAGCGCCTTCCAACAGTCACCTTGGATTTCACCTCTTGAGTTGCCTTCACCTAGATCAAGGTTGGCAGCATTTGTGATGGATAGAAAAGATGCCCAGGGAAATTGACTCTAGGTTATGTAAGCAAAAAGTGTCTTCAAGGGATAGCCAGCAATATCAGGCTCAGAGTTAGTGAGTTCCAAGCCACTGTGCCCAGGTTATTCTGATGTAGGAAGATTAAAGCTGTCTACCTAATGAGATCTTCTGAAAGAGAAACCCCGTGGCAAATCTAGAAGTTATCCCTTGTTTCTGTAAAGTAAGAAATTGCAGCTATCCACGACACTTCATTTACCAAGAATAATGCAGTTTGTATTACGTGAGATAGCTCATTCACCATTCGACAAATGCTTTCTTTTAATCACAGCAGGAATTAAGGGTGATTTGTGACCAGGTACTGAACTAGAATTTCTCAATGACAACCCCACTTTCATAGGCCTGTTTCCATTCCAGGCATAAATACAGAGGCTCCGATGTGAAACCTGGGGTCCTTCTGTTCCAGCAGGGGCTAGATATATGAGAGAGGAGAGTGGACAAGAAGGACACAGAGAGGCTGACAACATTTGGGTGCCAATCATCCTCTCTGTTTGGCTCTCCCTTGCACAAGTTCCCGGACAAAGTAAAATTTTAACACAAAACCCACAACATTCAGCACGTTTTCATTAAGCAACTTTAGTCACTAAAAAAAGTGCAAATGCAGACTCCTGTATAAATCTGATGTGCCATGCTAGGCCAAGCTTATTTTATTACATACATTCTGCATTCTAAGAACGAATAACTTCATATTGTAAACAAGCATACAGAGTTAAAATTCAAGGCCACATTATATCATTGATTGTCTCTTTTGTCGTGTGTCTTTGGCTGGCCGAGATCAACTCGTAGTGTATAAATGCATAAGTTATATAATTATTATAGAAAAGGGGGGGAAAAACATTGACTTGTATACTTCATTCTGACAAACGCACAGCGTTCGCGACTCAAAGGAAAACTGGTGGCCACCTACCCAAAATGCCTGTGTGATTTCTGATTGTGGCAGCCGAGATGGCCATCTCCTACCTGACCCTGTGGAGAACAAAGCCCCCACGTAACTATGAGGTCCTGAATGTTTCTCTTAAATATCAGACAATTCCAGTTAAAATTTTCATTTGACAAATAAAGAAAGAGATGCGCATTTTTGTTTCTGAATTCGACTACTTCCCGTTTCTCCATTACGCTGGGTCATTCTCCTAACACTGGGTTTGGTATAATACTGACTGCATGAACCCTCAAGTCTCCGTATCTCATTGTACCCAGTCCCCAAACGTCCTGAGTCCAGTCTTCACTGCTTGAGAAGTTTCTTTCCCAGCCCTGGTCTCCTCCTTCTCTGTCTCCTCCTCCTCCTCCTCCTCCTCAGCCCCTCTGTCTACAATCACACACTCACTCTATACACATTCTCAGTCCCACCATTTAGCTCATCATCCCAGTAATACTGTAAAGGAGCTGGAAACTTTGGGTCCTCTTCACAGTTTGAGAAAGCTGACAGCTCTCCATCAAACGGAATGTGTTTGATTTCAACCGAAGCAGCACATGGCCGTGCAGTTGCATATCAATGTCGGTTGACGGGCCAGCCTTTCTCGTGTCTTTCCTCTTGTTTTTGATATGTTTCTCTTTTTAAATACAGGTAGTTTTCCTTAAAATGGCATTATAAACGGTATGTTAGGTCAACACTGTGTTGTTTCTATTGCTTTAGTTTCATCCCAGTTTGCATGAGTGGGATTCCAAACTCTACTAAGTTTATACACTGCTTAAGACCACTTTCTTTGGCACTGTCCTTAAGACTTCATGCTTCTACATACACTGTCTTTTACAAGGTCAGTCCACAGATGATATGTGATATTCATGACATTTTTAGCATCCTCCTCATTTCTGTGGTAATACTTCTCCCTCCCAAGAGTCTTTGGATCTCTTCCCCGGCTTCCTTCCCCAGCCCCAGTAAAGCTTTCTTCATTCCTCTTGAGGCACTTTTGATTCATGTTCTCCGACCGAGTTTGTGGCGATGGGCTGGTGAATGCACGCTGATGGGAAAGGCCTCTATCAGGTCTTTAGTAGTAAGTGCCCAGATGAGAAGGCATATGGCTGGTGGGGAGCCTAGTGTTAGGGTATATACCCCCAGTTGGTGAATTCCAGTATGGGTTTGGGGCAGCAAAAAAACTGGAAGATGTCACAGGGAGGGCTGGAGGGTGGGGCGCCACAAAGTTCATCTTCTGTGGGTGGGCATGATAGGAGCCCATGTACGGGAGGTCTGAGGGGTACTTATATAGAGATGACTCTGGAGGGTGGGGCTGGAGAGCCTGGGCAATCCCGTGGAAGTCGAACTTGTAGGCGTAGCGCTTCCCATGGACCTTGGTCATGATGTTCTTGTCATAGTAGTAACGGAGGGCGCGGCTGAGCTTATCATAGTTCATGTTGGGTTTGCTCTTCCGCTCTCCCCAGCGCCGGGCCACCTCGTCGGGATCCGTCATCTTGAACTCCCCATTGGTGCCTTCCCAGGTGATGCAGCTGGAGTTGGAGCTGTCCGACAGGAGCTCCAGGAGGAACTGCCAAAGCTGGATCTGGCCACTGCCTAATGAGGTGTCAGGAAAGGAAAACTCCGGTGAGCACAGGTTCCAGGGGAAAGGGACTCTCTGATGATAGAAGGAGGTGCTGTGGGTTTGCCGCCCACAGTCCCTTCCCCAGGCCTGTCCGCCCATCCCTCGGCTGCAGGGGTGCTGACTGCTCTCATTCCATGACGACCCGCTTCTCCAGGGAACTGCCCTTGCCTGAACAGAGCCGCCGCCTCCCCCACACCCAGGTCTCCCACAGCTGGGTGGACTCAACAGGGTCCCGTGGGCCGGCCCCTTCACTCAAGGAAACACCAGCTCCCTGATGCTGTTCAGACTCCAGGGCTCCCGTGGGATGGGGCTGAAACATATCCAGCTGCAGGAGGCTTGGAAGAGGCCAGAAACTTCCTTATCTCTCCCCAAGCCCTGTGCTTCTTCCCATTCTCTCTCTCAAGAAAATGCCGTTAAACAGCCCTACCCCAACCTCTGCATCTAGGGAACCTGACCTAGGACGGTGAACTAACAGATCCAAGACCTAGATGGAATGCAGGGAATTCATACAGGGCAAAGTTCAGGCTGCTTCAATCCGTTTCTGACTTCCTTAAAAGAACAGCCAGATCAACCTGGTGTTTAGGGGGTGAAAGAGCTATATATTTTTTCCTATCTTGTGAAGCAGAAAGTTATCGTTCTGTGGATGGCAATAATGACTTAATGCCATTTATATTGGCTGGGTCAAATAAGATAATAAAAGTTAGATTTAGGAAATGAACTTCTAAAAGTTTATGGAAAAAAATAGAGAATGGATGTAAACACTATTATTTCTCACATAACATTTTGCTGGCGCTCAGAAAGCAATTCTGTTAAAATTTTTCCTAGATCAGAATTAACCCACTCAAAATGAGGAAGTTTAGGAAAAAAAAAAAAAAGCTGGCTCTTTTTCAAACCAGATCACCCAGTTCCAGTATTTGGTCAAGCGCATTGCAACGGAAACCCATGCGCTGCCTGTGCCCTGCAATACCAATTGTGTGAAGCAGCATTTCCAAAAGAAAAGCCCCAGCAATGAGTGATTGTAAGTCCCCATGGGAAGCTGAATGAGACTCTTCCTTAGTCACAGAGATCGCATTTAGCTGGGAGGACAAAGTCAGAATTGTCTTGATTTCATTGAGAGCACATAGATCTGGCTTTGTCTTATGAACTTGAAAGAAAAATCTAGGTACATCATTCTAGCCATCATCATGTATGGCTCCCTAGAAGACAGCAGCATGGAAATACCGACAGTAGTGTCAGTACCCAGAGAAGCTAAGCTGTGCTGAACATATTTCAGAAGCTTAAGAATGGATGGGAGGTGGGTCTTTCCTCCCCAATTCCAGTGAGAGCACTGCCTTAGGCTTATTACCAAAAAGATCACCTTCTATTATATTGTAAGTAATATCAATCGACGTGATAAAATGATTAAAGTAACTTTAACTGGCATCTACTCGGGGAATTAATATAATGTAAAAATCAATTATAAGTCTGTTTTTCTCTAAATCCTCACTAGCCTCCTGCAAGTATTGCCCCACTCATAAGCCCTTCTTTGCATGTTGGCTACATGGAAATGGATATGCTTGTGAATTCATGCATACAACACCACTGTGAGAAAGGTCAGCTTTTTCTGAATCTCTTCTGGAAAGTGCTCATTTTCAGTCTATCAACACATTTGAAATGTATTAACAGCTCATTGCAGTGGAAGCCTTTGCTTTTTCAGAACCACATATACAAACTGTTCCCAATCAAGTTTTGTTGCCTCCAACATTTCAATAATATGCATTTAGAAAATACAAAGAATGGTATGAGAAAACCATATGGTCTTAGTATGTATATTGTAACCAAAAAATTACAACTTGAAAAAAATTCCATAGATGACCTGGGAATAGGAAAAAGGTTGGATTTTTGATTTAACAGTCTAACAGATGCTTCCATATAAACACATACGGTTGTTTGAAAATAAATATTCAGCGTCAACTTTCTCCCATAGAGAAAGCAACTCCACAAACCTGCCGAAATCACACTTAGGATCTACACAAACCTTGGCATTGCCTCTTAGGAATTTGTCCCTCACCCAATTCTCTTATAAACGTGTAAAGGACAGAACCAGTGGAAAAAAGGGATCTCATGTCTCTCCTATTTCTGAAGAGTTAGAAAGCAGGGGACCTAAATTCGTGGCTGCAAACTCCATCCCTAAAGGATGGACAAGCTAATTTCTCACTTGACTATTTTACCCATTAGCCAGGAAGACACAGGCTCAGACCTGTGAGCCTTTCAAGGGAGGGTCTATAGAAATAAGAGATCTGTAAGCAAAACTCATCAGCTTTCAAACCTTAAGAGAAACCTGGAAATGCAAAATCAAAGAATGTTTAAGTAAATGATAGAAAGAGTAACATTATGTCAAAGTCATTAATTGTTAAATTTAATATGTGTAACAAAATTCACTGCATTTTGGAGTGTGTAGAGTGAATTTTCTCACTGCAAGAATTCTCAAAACTGAACAATGGTTGCTAAAAAAAAACTTGTCAATGGTAAATTAAATGAGTTATTCTCAGTCACAGAATTTCAAGAGCAGTTTTTCAATTCTTATTTTACTTCTAAAACAATAACATTTAAATGTGTGATGAGGCGCATTTCAGAACATGGAATAGAGATTTCCAAACAAGAACGCTTAGCGTTTAGGAAAGCCTAAAAGCAGCTTGGGTTACTCATGGGCCAAACCAGGAATCACAGAGGCACTCTTGAAAGACATGAACTTTCACCGAGTAGCATCACCACTTCCACCTCCGGACTCACCTTTCTTGGGTAAGCCCCTCAGGTCTATTTTATCACTCTATCTTAATAACATCCTTGCAATGTCAGTAAGGAGGAACCAGCTTTTTCTTAGGGTGATTACCAAAACAAAACAGATTTGGGAGTCAAAAACAGTGGCAAGCAGCATTGCCCACCTACAGAGAACCCCGTGGATGAAAGGGAGTGGCTGTGGCTTTTAGGAAGACAGAAGGCTCTCCTTCCATTTTACAGGGCAAAGGAATCTCCTAATACTCTTAAAAGAAAGGGAGAGAAACAGGGTGGCAAAGAGGCAAAAAAAAAAAAAAAAAAAAAAAAAAAAGGGAGAAAAAAAAAAAAAAAAAAAAAAAAAAAAAAAAAACACAACCAAACCTAAACGGTTTACAAACCACAGAGCAAAGCAGAGAGCTGCAGAGTGACTCAGCAGCTGTGGGTCTGGTGGAAACAGCTTCCCTGTGCAAAGCCCTGCGGCCGTCAGCTGATGAACAAGCGCAGTAAACACAGCAGTGAGGGGCCTCGCCAGTACCACGGTGGCAGTGGTTTGGGGCCACTTTCTGTAGAAGCCAGGGGTGGTGCAGAAGATCCCGCGCGCACAGCCTGGGCCCTCTGCAAGGCAGCAGGTGTGTCCTGAATGGAAGTGTCTCCCCGAGGCTCGGTGAGGCCCAGGCATCACTTACTGGAGGGGCAGGAAAGCTTGGTGGTAGGGAGCACTAACTTTGGAGTTGGCACTGCCTCAGTTGAATCCTGCCTCTGCCCTTTGTGGGACCTTTGGCAACTCTCCCACCTCTCTCTGCTTCAGTGTCCTCATCTGTAGGGAGGGAATAATGGGAATAGTACTATCTTGCAAGATCACAGTAAGGATGAACTCAGCACATGAATGGTCTCGTCATAAGTTCTTTGGGCTGAAAAGTAGAGTTTAAGGAAAGATAACGGTCCTCGCTTATAGCCAGGAAATGCCTAAAGAAAGGGGAACACCTGTGGTGTTCAATTGGCCTATTGAGCCATGCAGAAGCTTGAAATGGTGCTATTCTCAGGCTGACTGATATTTTTTGAAAGCTTACTGTGTGCCACGCACCATTCTAAATGCTTTACATGTGTTAGTTTATTTAATCCCCACAAGAATCATGAGATTTGCCCAAGGAGAAGTGAGGAAATTAGAGCTCAGAGAGGCAGACTGACGGATTTTGCTCAGCATCAGCATGGGTTGGAACCCAGACCCTAGGCTGCCATGCTTAACCACTGCCCAAATTTGCTTTTGGGCCTGGTTTGTGCACACCTCTGCAGCCTCCTCAGGTCCTTTCCATGTTGTCCGCTCCCCGGGGGGCTCCCACTGGAAGACTGCATGCTCCCAATTCCTTACAAATGGCAGAACAACCCTAACCTGGTCTGCAGTTCTGAAGAGGCAGGGTGCATTTTCATGCTCACCATTGAAGAATATCCTGTTAGCAACAAGGGAGCCTCTGAGCATAACCCAACAAAGCTCTTTCATTAGAGGCACCATGTTATATTCTCAGCTGCTCTGATAGGACATAAAGGAGCTGTGTGGCTTATAACCAGTCCATGATATCAGAATGTAGGGACACGCTTTTCTCAGCAGGAGAAGTGATGTCCAAAGTGCACATCAGATGAATATTTGGCCAGAGATGTTGGGATGCTGATATCATCTTGTGCATTCATACTGTATGATGTAACCTTTCCACTCAAAATGATGGAAAGGAATTTGTATTGTATGAAGAGCAAAGGCAGCAATTTTTAAGTGATGAAGGATTTATTTATCAGAGAATAGAAAAATAGAATCAAACAGGAAGAAGCGTTGTCATTAATACAAAGATAAAAGACATTCTGGTTTCAGGGGAAAAGTTCACATGAACACAACAGACACAGACCTAAGCACAGAGGGAGAGAAAGTCAAATTCATCAGAAACTAAATGAAATAAATCTTTATCTTAAAGACACTTGGCTGCAAATCAAGGGTTGGATGTTGCCATTTTCTCCAGGGTCATTAAGAATAGTCTTAATGGTAAAAAGCACAGTCCTGTTTCCCCAGGCCTGTAATGGGTTTCCAGTCACCTTGCTGTGAGCTCAGCTTCCTCTGTCTACAAAGGACATCCCCAGGCTGCTGAGCCCAGGGCAGATGCAGTGTTCTCTTGTGAGAGCTGGCACTGTGCTTAGGAGCAAGTCACTCTGGCCCTATTCTACAAACAAGCTTAGCAGTACATCTGAGCTGTGACAACCTGGTCGTGGACATGTATTTCATTCGGCCGATGTGTGAGTGAGTGCAAAGGCCCGTTTGGTCTTCTTTGGTGCAGCTTGACTCTTTCCTCCTCTTCCTTCCTGACCTGAGATTCATCACCTGGACCTAAGGAGTTAGTACCCTGAAAGGAAATCCTTGCCATCTAGTCCCACACTCTGCATTTTCTAATGCCTCTTCTTCACTTTATGCTTAGTTAGGGACAGAGTAGGGCAAGGAAACAAAAGCAGACTTTGGAGACAGAGTCACGTTTCAAATCTGGCCTCCCTTATCATTGGCCGTGTGACGCAGGAAAAGTTACTTAACTTCTCTGGATTTCTAATTCCTCTTCTGCAGTATGGAGATAGTAACCTCCCAGGGTCGTCATGAGGTGCAGAAGGGACCACAGACATTCTACAGAGGGTGTTCTGGGGGGTGGGAGTTGTTTGATTGTTATTTCACATGATTCTATTAACATTCCCAGAGTGTTTCAGCTTCCATCATTTTCTTTTTTCTAATCTATCCTGAACACTGCTGCCAGATCAGTCTTCCTGAAGCATGACTGATAATAATCATCTCAAAACATAGTCATTATTTTTATTTGAATGGTTATCTGGCAGTTGCAAATGAAAAGCTGAGCAGAAGTCTGAGAAGGGACCACAGCCTCAGGAGACTGGGCTACCAGATGAAAACCAGCATGAGCGAAAAGGGCTTGTGGCCCCATGGCTGGGACAACGTTGTAACTACCTGTGTCCATCCCTCCACGGGGCGAGAGCTCCCTGAGCTAAAGGGCTACATCTCATGATCCTTGGCATTCACGTATGCAATAGATAATCATTGAGCACCTAGTCTACCCCCAGGCTAACTAGTTTTCATTAGATTTTCATCTGTGTAAAAAATATTTATTGAATTCACTAACATCGACCAAAATTTAACATCAAAAATGCAGATGTTCAATAATGATAACATTTTGTGTTTTCAATGTATAGATTCTCTTGCTGGGGTGTACACTGATTAAATCTGAATTTTTCCATTTCCAGCCTTATTTTGGCCTCAACGTTTAGGAAATATACATTCCATCTTGTGCTTGCAATATGCCTGTGACATCTTGGCATCTGAATTTGCAGTTGGGAATATGCAGCATAGGCTATGAATTTCTGAAGCTGATGCCAGCACAGCTGGTTCTGATCTGAACACAAACAAATAAAACTATGTGGTTGGCACTGAAACACAAGGACAGGTGACAAACCTTGGCAATGCACTGGTTACAAATGGGCCAATTAAGAATCTGCACTTTTTCCTGGCATCGAAGTTCAGAAACAGACCATCGGAGATGAGCCTGAATCTGGTCTTGTGGTTGTAATTAAGGCTCTCTTTTAAAAATATACTATTTTATCTGCTTGTATAATGGGTTGAATTGTGTCCCTTCAAATCCCTATGTTGAAATCATAATCCCTGGTACCTCAGAATGTGAACTTCTTTTGGAAATAAGATCCTAAGGTAATCAAGTCACAGTGAGGTTATGGAGTAGATATTCCAGTCTGACCGAAGTCCTTGTGAAAAGCCGACATTTGAACACAGAGACACTGTGACACACATAGAGAGATGATGATGAGAAGAGACACAAGGAGATGATGGCCATCTGTAAGCTAAGGAGACTCCCCAGAACAGACCCTTCCCTCACAGCCCTCAGAAGGAACAAAGCCGCTACCAGAACACTCTGATTTCAGACTTCCAGCCTCCAGAACTGGCGAGACAATAAAATGTTGTTATTTAAGCCACCTCATCCGTGGTACTTTGTTATGGCAGCCACAGAAAACTATTACAGCTTGGATTCAGTCATAATGTTCTTTGCTGAAGCTGAAATCTTAATTTATAACCCAACCCATTTTTCCATTAAGGTAAATAATTCGGTGAGAACTAAAACTAAAATATGTTCAGTTGAAGGAATTTCTCACCAGTACCAATTTACTTTTCAAATTAGCCACTGTCGAAAAAGTAATTTTGTAAGCAGAAAATCATCAGCAGTTCCTCACCTGGATTTGCAAGGCGGCTACTTGTTGGTCCAAGAATCTGATAAGGATCTACAGCAAAAAGAAACAAAGTCAAATTCTAGACATAGTTGTGACATAGTATGATGTGACTTCAGACACAATGCCTGACTCCATTGTGTTTTCAGATTTCACAGCTGAAAATTTCCCCCAACTCCAAATCACCTGCCTCCACCTTCTCTATGAGAGAAGATGTCACACAGCATCTCAGATATTTTGCTAGGGGACTCCTAATTGGTGGCAGAGCTTGGATTCAACCCCAGGTTCCTGACACATAGCCCAGGGCTCACACCAACTAGTGATATAAAGAGGGCAAACATGTGCCAAGCCCCATCAGTCAGGGCCATCCAGGCTGTGTTGTTCAGGCACAGAAAGTAAAATTAAAAATAAAATTTATCAATCACAAAGAAGCAGTCTGTGTGCAAGTAGAATGTTTTTTTCCATGTTTATTGCATAGTTGTGGAAGTATTTTAGCACCATCTCAAGCCACCTCATAGGAGTAGGCTGATGATTTGGATCTGATCTTATGTACGGAGCAGTCACAAAGAAGCAAAAAATCATGTTAATTTCCATTAAAAAGTGATGCATTTTAGAAATTCCCTGCTGGGCCTGAATCTTCTTTTATGGTTATCCAGAAGGCCCCTGAAACATACCTAACTGAGGACGCTGGTCTTCAGTTTTGGGCACTGTGGAAGGAGATGGCTGAGCAGCTGAAAATCCAAAAATACAAAAGACAATGAGCTATAACTTAGATTTGGTCACTAGTCTTTGATGCTGTTATGTAATCACTCTATCAGTTAATTTCATTATTAACATAGTAGTCTAACTCAGAAGCATCTCATGGTAAGGAAGAACTTTCCTTTCTAATTAAACCAAATGTAAACATTGTAACAAAAAAAAGGAGGACGTTTCCAATCATTTAAAGAATGGATATCCCCCACACTTTTTCCAAAAATTAAAGAAAAAGAATTTGGGATGGCTTACCAAACAGATTACAATAAATCACAGTCTAACATAAATACATAAAGGGAAACCACCAGACAAAGTAAAGCCAGGGACACTTTCAAGCATGGCCAAGATTCAGGAAATCACCGATTATTTAATGTGTACTCAGACATCCCATGAAGCATGCATTTGTGAAGGCTGAAATACACTACATCATTCCTTCATTTTTGTTATGAAATTTGTGATGACCCAAACAGAAAAAGAATCACGGCAGTTAAAGATCAATTGTACTCTGTTGTCAATGGAACAAACCCACTTCATGTTACAAAATCACAGATTAACCACAGAAATTTTATTATTTACTCCATCAGCAGTCATCCACTGCCTGTGACATGAAACTCAGAGCCATTGGAACCAACACTGTACCTTTCGACTGGGGCGTAGGATGGCCATGACCGGTCCAGGCTGATCTCCTGGGGGGCTCATACGGTAAATCTGTAAAGACAAATAAACTGACTAAAAGATCAATCATGTAATTTTTATATGAGACGTTTTGAGTTTTTATTTGGTTTTGCATTTATTAGAATAAATTTTGTACAAAAAAATCTGGTGGTCCAAAGAAATATTCTACTAGATTTGAATTTTGTTTACAAATTATAATTTCATATATTACAGTGCTCTAAAATTCTCACCCGTTTATCTGAAAACTCCCATTGACAGATTCTCCCAGAGCTTGCTGACTCTTCTAATTTCCTACAATCATAAGTCAAGACCCTATTAAAAGTTTTTTACAATCTAGTTCATCCTGCTTCTACTGGAACTGATCTACATCTGTCTCATTAACTTCATGACTCATCCAAAACAGAGTCTACAACTTGGATGAACGAACCAATTTTTGTTTGAAGTCTGCCCCTAAATCCATCAAACATTCAGCTTCCTTTCTTCTTGCTTCTCCTGGAAAATGACCGCTGCCTTATGTTTTTGTTTGCCAGTTGCCTCTCTTAGCCAACTCTCGTTTTCCCTTTATAATCTCATCCATTTATATTAAATCAGTCTTATCTAGTGATTTCTACACGCAAGTGTCTCGCTTTTCTTATTTTCTAAATAAATTTAGAATTTCTCTAACATGAACTGCATGAAATGAATTACAGGACTGAAATAATATTGCTCTCACAGCACATTAACGATGGCCTTCTGAGCTTAAGTACATGCCAATCATTTCTTTGTATTTATAAAGTAGTATCACTTGTCCCACAAACCTTTATCACTTTGCATATGCAAATTTAATAACTATACCTCTGCATCCTCAGTGTGGGTTCTACTAATGATGATCAAACCTCTAAGTCATTTCAAGTTTGTTTCAAAACCTATTCCAGAAACGTTATTATATATACTCTTACTAAGAGTGCATATCTAAGGCTATTTCTACATGCAATATTAATATACAACCATTTCAAAATTATGTCTTCTTGGATTGACGGGTCTCAGTTCAATGTCATGTGTCATTTTGGGCCAAGTGAAGGCCATGGTCAGATATCTCAGCAGGCATTTTGTTGCCAGACACCAGGAGATAGCTACAAAATTTCACTTGGAGGGTAGGGCCATGGAATTGTCTTTAAGCTTCTATTTAAACAGATATTTTAACTTCATTTAAAACTGGGAATTTGATGGGTCAATCTTCAAAGAGATTGGCTGTGTTTCAGAAGTGTCTCTTCCTATTTTCATATCCCAAAGAGAATAGAAATGGCATGAAATGTGAAATTCAATACAAAATCTGCTTAATGTATTTGGTCTGTCTGGCTGCAAACATCTTTGCTACTAGTGTGGTCTGTGAAATCCTACCCTTCAGAGCTTTGCAGAATTAGATAATTTTCTTTTTAAACTCTGGTGTTACTCACTCCTCTTTCTCAGCTAGCATTTTTGCATTTTTGGACCTAAAGCTTTTCCTACCCATCTCCTCGGATTTTCACTTTTCTGGTGTTGAGGTTACACATAGGAATTAAATCTGCAGCCCCTGCCGATTTACAACTGAATTTCAACTTAAGTCTCTGGGAAAACTTTGCACATGGGGTTCTCAGTCAATTGCATTTTGTCAAAAAAAGAAATAATAATAATAATGGATAGCCAGAGTTTCAATTTGCAAATTGTCTCAGAAAGAAAAATCTACTCACAAGGCAATCCTAGCAACATCTAGCCGAATTTGAGAGCGGAAAGGCACAGTAACTAAGGGCTTCCATTTACCAAATGAAAAGAAGAGCAAGATAATACAGAAATATGTTCTAGATCTCTGTTTGCCAAAGGGTGGTCTGTGGACCAGCAACATCAACAATACCTGGGATGCAGAATCTCACCCCAGACCTACCACATCAGAATCAGCAATTTAACAAGTTCCCGGGTGACTTTGGTGCATAATGAAGACTGAGAAACCTGCTCTAGACAATTGCTTTTTCCAGCAGATAATGATTTCAGAAATGCTATCTACAATGTGCAAAGACAAATTAAAAAATGGTTGAAAGGTTTCAAGCTGGATTGCTTTTGCCGATGGCATAAGCATGCTAATGGGACTAACAGAAAGCATCAGTAGGTAAGGCAGAGGCTACCTTAGACAGAAAATTATTGCCCATGAAATGTGACTGGGAAAAAAATGAATGCCAAACTACTACTCCCAAAATATTTTGAAACTCTTTATTCACAAAATCCTTCTTAGGTGTATAACCATATCCCATCCTCCCTTGAAAATAAGTTGAGACTTAACACCAAACAGAGTCTACTTTCCAGCCAAGTATTTGAGACATTTATATGAACAATGATTAACATGTTCATAGGCATACTGCCATGGAAGGTAAATGGAGTTTTGTTTTCTTCCATGACATTCTGGTCCAATGCTTCCTTATCGGCTACCAATCACATGCTGTGGGCACTAAGTACCCGCCCTGTGGAATATGACATTAGGAAACATTCAACTCAGGTTCGCTGAGATGGGCAACAGCCAGGGGTGGCCGCTTTGGCAGCTACACCATCTCAAAGCCTTAGTAGTTCTGCTTTTGACTCTTGAAAAATCACTCTTCTGTGTATCTTTGCTATGTGTGCTTTGCTGATAATACAGCATCGGATTTCCAATAAAAATACATTTTACATTTAATTTTTGCTGATCATTTCAACACCATCTCCATTTCTCCTTAATTTTGATCTTCAAGGTAATAAACTCATATGTTGGCAGAACTGCCCATGTAAGGGAAGTCTGCTTTCTCGCACTGGTTCTGCTGTTTTATCTGTAAGAGACTGTGTTTAAAAACCGAGCTTTATAAAACTCATTTCATAGGGCGCTTGGGTGAACATGACGTATGTTACATCACAACAGTATAAAAAAACAGCATGAAGCTACAGAGAGGGAGCTCGGCTAGTGCTGAGCCCTACACACCAGCAACTGTGTTGATTTCCTGGGAGCTGGGGTCAGCTTCTCATTCCGAATGAGACTCCTCCTCTACCACACCCTTCTGAAGACATCAATAAATTAATACAACATTCTGGCTACCGTTTCCAGGAGGGCTAAGATCAGCCAAGTTTTATATTCTCCCTTCATCAAACTCACTGAGGAGGAACCCTCTAGCTCTTGCCCCTGACCCCCGCTACCAGCTTTATTTTTTAAAGGGCCAGAATGTGGACCATGGAAGAGGTCATCCTCATTCTGCAGGATCCATGCCATGTCTACAAAGCCACCCTGGAGGTTCCCTGGCTGGGCTGGATGGGAAAAGATGAGATTTGTCTGCTCTTGAAATTAGATGCTACTATTCACAATAGCAAAGACTTGGAACCAACCCAAATGCCCATCAGTGATAGACTGGATAAAGAAAATGTGGCACATATACACCATGGAATACTATGCAGCCATAAAAAAGGATGAGTTCATGTCCTTCGCAGGGACATGGATGAAGCTGGAAACCATCGTTCTCAGCAAACTAACCAAAGAACAGACAACCAAACACTACATGTTCTCACTCATAAGTGGGAGTTGAACAATGAGAACATATGAGCACAGGGAGGGGAACATCACACACTGGGTCTGTTGGGGGGGAGGTGGGAGGCTAGGGGAGGGATAGCATTAGGAGAAATACCGAATGCAGATGACAGGTTGATGGGTGCAGCAAACCACCATGGCACATGTATACCTATGTAACAAACCTGCACGTTCTGCACATGTACCCCAGAACTTCAAGTATAATAATAATAAAGAAATTACATGCAAATGGGGAAGACAAATTAGAAAAACTAAGAGCTGCTGCTGAGAATCAATCTATAAACGTCTGTTAAATGAAAACAATTTTTTGAGTCAATCTTAATTAAGTCGCTCTCTCTTGCTTTCCTCCAGATCTTCTTAAAATTCTATATCAAAGGCATGGAGATTTGGAGACATTTTGCATTCCCTTCTTGCCTAGATTTGCAGATCTCTGTGGTTACATAAGAACTAGGGGGAAGCAAAGCACGCAGTTTTAGCCATTTGCTAAGATATAGGCTTTACATAGCACCTAACTGAGGGGTGCTATGAAGTAGTTGTATTGTCTCACTATGCCTATCTGTGCTGATAAGCACTAAGCCATGAGCTCCAACAGAGGAATAGTTTAAGATTCCAAGAAACCCCTGAAGAGCAGCAACTTCAAAGTAGAAGCAAAGGCTGCATTTGCAGGTTTAACTCTCTAATCTCCTTTGATAACACCCCAGATACATATCACAATATATGGGTTGTCATGGGGATGGAAGAGGAAAGGATAGGGTTGTAGAACATCATCCTTGGGATAGAACTGAGCTTTCGCATGACCTGCTCCCGAGAGGGCAGGCAGAGTGGTGCACTGTGGAGTTAATAGGGGCTTGCAAGATTCTGTGAATCAGGTCTGTCTCTGTTTTTGCTACTTTTTCCCCTGAGACCTCAAAGGCCTATGGCTCCAAAAGAAGTGGATTCAGGAAAAAAGACGAGTGTTTGCTGACAAGGTACAGAAAGGGATTCTGGTCGTAGGAACTGCAACAACATGAGAAACACATGAAACATCATGAAATAATGATCATAAACCCACAGCATGCAAAATGACATGCCTGTGGGTTGATACCTTACGAGAGTAGACAAGACACTGTCTCAACGCTAATTCAACAAAGGGGTCATGAAAGAAGGAACATCTTGAATCAGGAAAATGTCACATGTGGTCCCCTGTGAGGTGCAGGGAGTGAAATGACACAGTAGAGGTGAGACTGACCTGACAGGGAAGTAGTCAGGGGGCTCTGGCATAAATGACCCATTTGGGAAGGTGGGCCATGAACAGAAGAAAAGGCAGATTGGGGTAGTAACCCAGGGATAGGTGACTCACAGTGGGAAGGAAAGGAGAGGAGGGCGGTGAGGAAGCGCTGGGAAGGAGGACAGGCAGGATGACACATATGTGTAGAAGGAGTCTCTGCAGAAAGGGGGTGGAATGCTGTCTAATTCAACCAGCAAACCTTGAACAAACACCACTGTCTCTTCTATCAGGGACTTTATAATGAAACAGCCACCATGCAGAGGAGAGACATTCTGGTCTAAGTAGAGTTGTTACCCAGGAGCCTGGCTTGCCTCACGGTCAGCACAATAATGCTGACCAGAGTTTGGTTCCCTTGGATGTGGGATTAGACAAAGGGTGTGGAAATCAAGATCACAACACAGCAAACCAAGAGTGGAGGAGACAGGAATTTGGATCTGTATCCCCAAGGACCTTCAAAGAAACAGTCAACAATCACCTTTCTGAAAGCAGTCAGATACCCACTGACCACAGGGATATCGTCAGATTCCCAGGGACCTCCCTCTGTGAGTTGTGTGGCTCTGAAAGTTAGTGATGCAAAGACTCTTCCCCTCAGCCATCACAACATTCATTCTCCAGTTGCAGGTGCACAGCTTTTACCTCCACAGGACCAGTCCTTTAAAGTTAATTGGTTAGCAATGGGTGACCCAAGGTATAGAACTAGTTCTTATCTCCAAGGTCAAGTCCCTGAATAGAGCCTACAGTAAATAGTCATCTGGCTTGTTCACTCTGCTTTAAATCTTTACAGGTCAGATACCAATGTTTGTCTCACTTCTCTTCATCACAGTAGCAGTAGTCAAAACAGGCTATTTCAGGTACAAACTGAGTCTCAAAAATGTACTTGACTAGTAGTGGAGATGTGGAAGCATGCTCTCACCCAGGTCATGCTCAAATCATGGGGCCATAGCACCATCAGAGAAGCACATGCCAGGTGTCTGAGTTTGCCGCCCCTGCCTTCCCTAGGCTGGGCAGAGAGGGAGTCCCAACCAACACCCTCACAGCCATCCTCTTCTCCATCCACCTGGATGGACCACTCCTTCCAATTCCACTATATCCTAAAATGTGAAAGCAAAGCAGCTCCAGGACCCACTGTCTTATCCAGGTAGCATCCATCAGTAAGCTGGCTTGTCTGATGGACAGGCTGTGCCAATGGATTTGGCCAGTGTTGTGAGCTTTTAACACAATTTCTAACACCAGCTCACCACCTTGGCTTTGTAACTCAGTCAGAGGCACGTATGAGATGGCTTAACATAAACAAATACAAAATTAAAAAGCAAAAACATTTTAAAACCCCAGCCAAATGTTTTGGAGATAGTTTTTATTTCTTTAAGTATAGATGGAAATATTTTTTAAATGCTCACAGAATTAATTCCTACAGCTTGAGTCAAATGTGAATTTCTATTTTCCATTTGCAATACATGTGGTGAATTTCTTTAGGACCAGTCTAGTAGACTCTAGGCACTGGGTCTCGCCCATGTTTCAATGGCCTGTGAGATCTCTTACATGACAGAGGTGACTCACTAACTCTTAGCACCTCTTAGCTAAGCTTTTCTGTCCTGCTTTCCAGGAGCAAGAGAGAAAACTTTTTCTCTGAGGTTAGAGAAGAGAAAATTGCCATCCTGAAATCACTAGGCAGTAATAGGGCAATGTCAGGATTTGAACAGGCTGAGAAGCTTCCTCATTCATTCTTTAGCTCACTAGGTCCCCAGTATTTCTCATCAGAATGAGAGAGTAGTCACCGAGCCTAGATCTTGAACCAGTTCAAACTGAGACTTGCATGTCCTGGATATGTGATAGACGTGGTAGAGAAGTAGCCTGAGTTTAACATGAATTCTGGAAGCATGTATGAATATGGAGAAACCATCTCACCACCCTGAACATGATGTCATCAGCTATGAGGCTGGCACAGTGATACCTAGCTCACAAGGCTACTGTCAGTCCCAGGGAGGGGACAGATGCTTAAGGCATGCAATACCCTTTTGTGAAATGCCCTCTCTCCCTGGTCATTATTCACCTGGCAAACAGCTAATTCCCCTCTGCCATGTGACCATTCCTCTGGAAAGCATCTTTATGCCTTTCATTGGGGATTGAGTTCCTCCCTGCTCCTGCTCCTGCCGCCTCCATTGCTAGAAGGGGTGCCTCTACCATAAAATCTATCACATGAGGGAAAACATTTATGTGTACATGTCTCTCTCTCTGGTTCTAGGTCACTCTACTGAAACATCTAGAACTTGAGGCAAAACATTTCGGCTTGTTCACCGCCATACCCTCTGTGGCTAGCACAGAGGAAGCCCTCAGCAAATGAACAAGTCAAGCTGAATGAAGAAGGGAACTTTCTGAAGACAGGAAGCTTACTGAAGCCTGGTTCATCTCTATATTCCCAGAATCTAACATCACGCTTGGCACTGATGGGTACTTGACAGATGTTTATTTTTGCATGATTGGCATGTAAATTAATTACTTAATTATATCATCTGGAAGACAGGCAGTAAGACTCAGATGTAAACAATATCGATTGCATGCTTCTGCCCTGCAAGACTTCTTCTGCCATACAGAGAATTGGTCCCTGTGAATCTGGGAAGTGTCCTTGTTTTGTGCTCTTCCCCCAAGGAGGGATGGATCCTTCCATTAGTTCAAAAGTGGACATATTCCTAACTGCCAGGCATCCAGGGTGCCTTCTTTGCCCATCTGTCTTTCTGAAGAGCTAGTTAAAGGGCTAATCTGCTCTGAATTCCTTTAGTATGGTCTTTGAATGAAATTGTTTGAGTGGATTTAGTCTCCAAATCAACAGAGGCAGAATAAGACTGTCTGCGACTGGCTTCAGATCCGGGATCAGCTCTCTGTGTGTCGCGTGACTTAGGGCACGGATCTCAGCAGGACATCTGGGATGTCTCTCAATGAAGAGATCACACAGGGGTGTTTTCGTACCTGGCCTAGTTGTAATTCTTTGCGTAGCTTCAGGATATACTGAAGTATTTGGAAAAATAAAAGCTGCACCCCCTGCAGACAAAAGGAAAGACAAACATGTGAAGGTCTTTTGTTGTGGCTGTCAATCTCAACATCAGCGCCAAATCTACTTTGCCCTGTGACAACAAAAGGAAGAGCCCTCCTCAAAGCTGCCTTAACAGAGCTCCGGAGAAGTGGACAGGTACACACGTCAGATTCTCAAGATGGATGTGAACTTGGAGCCTTGGCACACACCTGTGCCCCATTTGCTATGAAGTGTTTTGTGTTCTGATTTTATGATTTCTTGATGAAACCCCATCTGCCCCCCAAACCCCACTTCCCGCTGGGCAATCTCATTTTATTAAAAAAATTATATGATGCATGTTTGATTTTTCAAATTGTATAAAAAACCATCATATATTTTACAGAGCTCCTGGAAAGTAGTACCAAGAAATTCTAAGTATTTAATCTAAGAGTATATGGATTTTATTAATAATTAATCAATACACATCTGTATTCAAATGCGTTTTCCCTTTCTCTCGTTTGACCAACACTCATGTTGTTAGCTGAGAAAATTCCCTTTCATAATTCAGTCCATTTGGAACTTGCTGTCCTGATGATTGGTTGCTTCTGTGTTTAACAATAGCAAAATTAAATAACTTTTTTGAAACTTTCACTCCATGGCTAAAGAATTCCTAAATAAATATGAACTTATCAGAAAATGTGCAAGCTCAAAGGTGTTTCCTAAGAAGCGGAAGTAACTTCCTCTGAGTTATCTACTATTTCTGGCACAAGGTCATTAATAGGCTCATGTGTGCAACCAAAATGATTGAAAAAGTGTACTACCAACTTAAAACAGGTTTTTTAAAGCTTCAGATTAAAAAGACAATGCTTTGAATATAGAAGACCATGATAAATGGGCAATTTCACTGTAATACTCAAACTAGGACGCATTCGCTTTTTCTATTTTAAAATAAAATGGTAAATATTGGGAAAACGTATTTCCATGTGAGGGCTGACCATGAGTTAACTGGCTGACTTGAAAGGGGCTATCTAAGACTTCCTGGCACTTCCTATCTCCATCCCTAGCCTGGGTGGTCGTGGAGGGTCCCTGCAGCTAACAGAGTGGGGTGAGCAGCTGGTGGCTATGCTTCCGGAACTCTCTCCATCAGGAAGGAGCAGATGGATGTGAACCAGGACCACCTTCATCCACAGAAAACCCAGCCTCTACTGTGAGCGGGAGGTGAGGGAGGAAGGTTAGCCAGGATGAGGTAAGGTGTTAAACCCTATTTAGGCTCAGGCAAAATGAATACAGAAATAAGTCAAATGCAGGGTCAATGGTTAGAGATAGAAAGCAGGCATTTGGTTAGTGACTAATTTCACATTCTCCAAAATTATAGCAGAGTTTCCCTCTGAACAAAAGCTCTCACAATGTTACAGAAATTCCCTCCTTCTGCCTTTTGTAAACATACAAATTCTGTAGGAAAACAAATCAAATAGCCTAAAAGCTTATTGGAAAGGAAAAATAAAACTCAAACTTATCCTAGCAAATATTTCTTTAAGAATAAAAATGAAAAGAAATTAAAGGAGGCTGCTAAGGGCCCTTTTATATCAAACATGCTTTTATTGTCTACAGAGTCAGCACAGCGAATATATCGGGATTAACAGAAGAAGATTGTACTCTGGCAAATGTGAGCTAAAGTTATGGCTGAAGGCAAATTCTACACGTCTCTTGGTTAAAAAGAACCCTTTGATAATCAAAGGGCAGGTGCACAGGAAGTGCTCAGAAAACCAAAGAGCTTCGCCTTCCTTCAGGCTGTGGAAACTCCTAAGTATTGGAAAGTATCCTGAATCATCTACCTGTGTTCTGTCTTCCTGACACACACTGATTGGTTTCCCACGAAAGCATGCAACCTGTACGCAAGACCCTACGCTCTTGCTAGGAGGCAGGGGTGGGGCCAGTATTACCTGTGTTTCTAGCATGCATTAACCGTGGAGAGTTTTGTAAGGCTTTATCAACATCATCTGAAGTCAAATGTGGAAGAGGAGCTACAAAACAAAACAAAAAGCGACATCAAAATGAAAAAAAAGGGAGAGAATCACCTTTCTTATAAAAAAAAAAAAAAAAAGGAAAGAAAGAGAACCACTCCCCCCTCCCACCCTAACATCATGGGCAGCTTATAACTATTTCCATCAACCTCCTACTTGTTAGCATGTTAAAACCTACATGGGGGCCCATCTTTAATTCAGGGAAGAAGTGGTTGGGAGGCCAGGCAAAGCAATGGAGGAGAATTTACTCCACCTCACTGTCTGTCACACTACTTCCGTCTAAGCATGCTGGACATTGTAGAAATTAAAGCATGCAGCAAACGTTCTGGACTCATGCCAACATGCCATCACATTCTGTCAGGTTAAGCCCAATCACATGATACGAAGTGAAAACTTCCCTTGTTCTGTGTTCAGGTTAGAATACAAAGTGGGGCTTGGTGTAGCTTTAAGGAGAATAAACCCCCTGATTCCTACTAAAAAGGAGGCTTTCCTTAATGTTTCTATTTCAAGTTGGCTTATCATGGAGACTAACTCATGTGTGACCAGTTACTGCTTCCTTTCCTTTTGACATTCCATCTTCTTGGTGGCAAAACCCTGGAGGAGGGAGCTGAGTGCCGAGGTGACTTTTTGGCTTCTCCCGAGAGAGCCGACTACTTCTCACCAGCTGATGTGGCCAGGGTGTTGTCCCGCTAAGTCATTGCATACCAAGCCTGTGGTTCTCTCAGATCCCCAATGGGAACTGGAGGAGGGAAGGAAGATGCTGTCGACACACCTGTTTGAACCCTCTGAGGCTCAGGTCATAAGACCCATAGCCACAGCCATCTATCCTTGGAGGAAGGGGGCAGCTTACTCTCTCTGAGGTAGTGGAGGTGTGAGAGAAGGATGTCGGCGTTGTAGCTGGGGGTGAGCCTCTGGAAGTCGTCCTTGGTCATCTTGCACAGTTCCTTCCCGTCGATGTTCTGGAATAACAAGATGTTGACATCTGGGAGGCCATATTCCTTCACCGCCCACTCCAGCCACTGCCGCACATGGTCTGTACTCCACAGCGTAGGATCTGAAAGGGGTGGAAACAAATTCAGTCAATTCCTGAAGCCAGGCGTCTGCATCTGGGGCAGATCCCCATCCAGGAGGGATTTCCCACCGGCTGCCTTCCGCAAGCGCAGCCTCCAGCCAGCCTCCCTGGCTACCCAGGAGAGCATCTCGGGGGGAAAGACAAATGCTGCCTCACATCCATAGGTCATTGTCTTTTGAGTGAATAGTTCTGGAATCTTGGGATTATTCACATCACCCACCCTCTCTGTTGCTCAGACAATCTCAAATTTCCTGTAGGCATGAGATTTTTAAAATTCTTTTTCCTCACGCACGTCCATTTTTATGTATTCATTTGAAAAAGAATAAGAAGAGTAAACTTCCTTTCCTTAAAAAACTACTGATATATTTATATGGAAATAAGAGTTAGCAACACGTCAGGAAGGTGCTAATTACAGACCACAACAACAGCAAAAATAATAACAGTATGTATGCAAAATACTGAAAAATACTGACCACAGAATTGGAAATGAAATATAGATACACTAAGACTCTAGCCCCTCCTGTGAGCCAGCCTTCCTCATAGAGAGCTGTCAGTTCCAGACTTTTCCTACAGGGTGTTTGGTTTTGCAATTAACCAGCACCTGCAGGAGTGGGGTTGGTGAGTGGTTTTTGCACTCCACAGCTGGCCACCGAGCACAAATACCCCACAGGATGCAGGCCACGTCGTCACACCCCACTGCCACCTACGGGACAGGGAGGGCAGGGCCCTGGGGAGAAGGAGCAGGTGATCTCCAACAGAAACGCCAGCGGGGACATCCGTGGTAAACACCCTCAGTGGTAGGGTCTTCCGAATGTGTGCTAAATGGGGCAGCTGCTCCCTTGGGTCCTGCACCCTGAGACACCTGGCCAGAGAGCTGGAGCCCTGAGTTTTAATACCACCATTTCTTCACTTTCTGGACCTTGCTGTGGGCAGCTGCTTCTCCTTCCTCTGTCTGTCCCATCCGTAAACTAACAGCACTGACCTCAGTTCCCTGGACAAGCCCTTGGGGGTCAGGCATGCCAGGATGTTCCAATCCTCTTGAATGAAAGTCAGCTGTGGGAGTCACTTTTTAGCTAACATTTTCAGATCCTTGTTTGGTCCCACTAATATTTTAGGCTACTCAAGAATGGAGCATGCAGTATGCTGTTGAAATACATTGTTAGGTTTACAGAGATAAACCACAATAATTGTGAGAAATAGCCAGCCAGTCATACACCCAGAGTTCTCTTACTCTCCCTCCTTCCCCCACTCCTTCCTTCTTTTCTCTCCCCCTTTCTTCCTTCCAGCTTCACAGAAGAAAGAAATTATTCCAGGTCCAGTACAATCTACCCATCCCCATTCCATTCTCCTACTGCAAATACTGATCCTGAGGTTAGCAGTTAGTGGTTATAAGTAACCACTATCCTGAAGTTAGTACATATTTTAATATTTTTACAATTTAAACTACATATATTGTTTTGTGTTTTTAAAGTGAACATAAATGATATCTGATTTACTATCAGCACTCAATGTTATAATTTCAAGACGCAGCCAAGTTAATTCACAAAGATATACTCAATTATTAAGGAGCTCTTGGGCCTCCCCCAGTCCCAATTTATTTACTGAACGTCCCCTGTCCATCTCCCTGCATACGCATGAAGGAGTTCTCATTGGTCCACAGCCTGGGGTCCTTGTTGGAATCACTTGCGGAGACTGAAAAACTAGTGATGCCTGGTCTCCCCAGGGAGAGTCTGTTTGAATTAGGCTGGAGAGCAGTTGGGCATCACAATTGATAGGAGCTCCCTCAGGTGACTATATAACACGCAGCCAAGGTTCACACCATCTGCTCTGGGCCTCACGACTCCAAGGGTGGTCCTCCAATCCGGCAGCAGCAGCATCACCTGGGAGCTGATTAGAAATGCTGACTCTCAGGCCCCACCCAGACCTGTGGAACCAGCATCCACATTTTCGCATGAAACTTGGGAACACACTGACCTAGGCTGAGTACCCAGATGTGGGATTTCTGAGTTACAGGGCACATCCATCTTCAACGTGACCAGCTAGCATTAGATGTCTACCAATGTTAAAACACCCACATTCTCACTTAAAAATCAGCGCACAGAAACTGAAAACTAAAGAGAACTCTGGTTTTGCTGCAGAGAGAATATCAACAAAAACTCCAACGGCGGCAATGACAGAAAAGTGTACATATTTCTTTGCCATCCAAACACTTGAAAACATGTAGTTAGTCTGTGAAAACTGTAGATATGGAAAGTTAATGTCACGCAGCTAATTGAAGTTCAGATGACTCTTTGTCATTGGGTAAGAATTTGGCTTTCAGGGATAAAATGTTTCTTTTTTTATGACATGTCAGAATTCCTCTTTCTACAAAAATGGATCACACTGAAGTCTTAGGACAAGTTCTTTTTACCTTCGCTTCTGTGCAGAGGATGGTTTGCTCAGCCCTTGCAGAGAGAAGGCCCGCCTTCCACCATCTTACCCAAGTCATTCCCTGTAAGTTCCATCCTTTGATGTTAGCCAAAACCACCTTTTTGTTTTCTTTTAACAACATGGGAGGGCTTTTTTTTTTTTTTTAATGTAACAACTGTACTTCCTAGAAATAATTCCATTCTGGGAATAGACTTTCTTCTCTTAATGGTGGAACCGGATATTCTCAAAATGATACATAAACAATTTGTCTGAAAGCCACCAGGTTCATTTTAAAATGGGGAAAGGAGAAGTCTAATCTCACTGAGATCCCTTGATGTGCCCCTTAATTAGTTTCACTCATCAAGCCAAGGGCTATCATGGCCCAATCAATCAGCTTTCCTTTAAGGGAATCAGGTGCAAAACCCCATAAACCAAGTCCTCAACCTGTATTGTACTTATCTCTACAAATCTCACTCTGAGTCAATACAAGACTCTTCTGGAGTTCTGCTGATAGAGTATAAATGTCCACAACCTTTGTGATGAACAACACAACAGTACATCTCAAATGTCTTCAAATGGGTGCAGATTCCCTGGCTTAAAAATTCCATTTCTAGAAATTTATCCTAAGGAAATAATGCAGGATGTGCGCAATGATTTATTGTCAAGGATGTTCTTTGTAGTGTTGTTTATAATAGCAAAACATTGGAAACACCCTAAATGTCCAGCAAAAGAAAACTCGCTTTGTAATATATTCAGGAATGTTCCTGTGATATTAAGAGACTGAAAATTAGGCTGTTGAAATATATTTATGGATATAAGAAAGTGTTCAAAGTATATTAAATTTTAAAATTTCAAAATAGTATTGCAATATCATTGTATTTTGCAAAGATATATAAATATCTGCAGAGAAAGAAATTCAGAGGGAGATACAGCAAAATGTGAATTGTTGTCTCTGAGGGAAAGGAGATGGGAAATTTTAGATTTTTCATTTTCACTACACTATATCTTCTCATTTTTCTATAATAAATATGGAATCCTTGGGTTAACATTACAGTATTTATAAAAAATGTATTCTCTGTTTTTAAATCAAAACATGGTCTCAAAAAAGACCATAAGACTAAATATATATACATATATATACTTAACATATATTTTATATATACTATATATATACCACAGATATATATGTGAAAGTATTAATACTTTCTAAAATACTTTATAAAAAGTATTTTTAAAAGTATAAAAAATAAAAAATAAACAAAAATAAAAGTTAATAAAAATGAAACTATTTATAAAAAGCATTTTATAAAAAGTATAAAAAGTCTACTAAAATATTTTATAAAAATATTTTTATAAAATATATAATATATATAAAATATATACTCATATATACTATATATATATATATATATACACACACTACTTACATATTATACATGTGAAAGTATTTTTATAAAATTTCTTTCAAGGGTATAAAGCATTAGTTTCAGTTTTTTTTACATTTCGTTAATACGGATTGCTTTATTTGAAAAGGGAAAAATTACATGAAATCAGAACACTCCCATATCCTTTTAGGATTTGATCTCCACAGCTCTGCCCTAGAAGTTTATAAGCAAACAATAGTAAAAACAAAAAATAGCCACTTGGTAGCAGAAATGAGGGCATTCCTTTTCTCCTGTGCACCGGCACCACTGTCCTGGACCCATGCTGGAGGTGCTGCAATACTGGACAGTTTGCAGGGGAAAAGCCCAGATTCCTCAGCATGAAGCACACAGACCTCTGTTCCATGGGTCCCACTGTCTTCATGGGTGTCATTCCCAACCATTCCTCCTACACCCTACATTTCCTGAGCCAACGCCCCTGTGCCTGTGCCACATGCCACCCACAGCATGAAGGACTAGTGCCTTCTTGTGCCCTCACCTACACTCACCACCTCCTTTGGGCATCTGTCCTCGATCCTCTCACGGAGGAAACACTTAACGAATTTCTGGACAGAGAAGTGATAACAAGACTGAAGACCTAGTCTCGCCCACACTGAACTCCGCCTCCACTACCTTGGCCAGGCATGGATGCTGCAGCTATCGATGATGGTTTTTAGAGTTCAGGTCAGTGCACTGGGTCCAGGCTGCCATGTTTTGGCCCTAACTCACCTTTTAAATCCATGGAGAGCCCCAGTAGTCTCTCTACTCTCCTCCATGGCCCATGATATCTCAGCAAAGCTTAATGGCTTCTGTCACACTAGGAATCATAGAAAGGGGCTCGAGAGGTCCTATGAGATTCAGCAGGCCTGTCTTTCCTTGTCCCCAACCACATATGTGCAGGAGGAAGGCGGGGGGGGGGACTACAGCTTGAGCCCCAGCAGAGGCATCGCCTTTGCCTATGTTTAGGTGCAGCCTTCTGCCCTGGGTAGGAACACCTGTTGCCTCCAGGTAGCAGCGTGATCGGAACCTGTCATTTAATTTTACAACTGGACTTCGTTTTTCTCTTCTATAAAATAATGTGAAGAATTTCAGGTCTGAGAAATGACTCAAATAGGATAAGAACTAAGATAGATTTAATGCAAGTAAAAGTCA